TTAGACAATTGACTTTTTCAAGTGGAATGTCTGCTGTTACAAACGCTTCTATAAGGTCTTCAATAAGTTGTTTTTTTGACTCTACAGCTGTTCGAATAGAGGAAAGGGTAAGTTGTTGTGTATTATTCTGCCTTTTTTCATGACTTTTTACATTTGATATATGTTTCTGACTTTTACAATGGTTTTCTACAATAGATTTATACTTCCACTCCACTGAAACATTGCAGTAGTTGCAGAAGAGAATATTATCATCAATACGAAAAACTTCTTCATACTCTCTACATCTAGTGTAAATTGAAACGATTTTTCTTTTTTTCGACATTGTTAAAAAAAGATGATCGAAAATTAATTGATAATCGGAGCTAAACTTTAAATATTTACTGCAGATTATGTGATCTGATATAGAAAGATCTGAATTATGTAATTTTATGATGTGATAACTTTAAATTATGTATTATCACATAAATTATGTGTTTAATGTGAAATTATATGATCAAATAAAATCATCGTCCCTGGCCTGGGTTTGATTCTTGGGGTGATTTTGACGTATGGTGAGGCAACTATGGTGTAGGCTATCATCTTAGGTTGTTCTTGACCCTCTTTTCAGTAGTTGTGATGAATAGTGAATGATGGCCAGGTACCATATCTCTTTACCTTGAGGGTTCATTAGTTTGGCAGTCTACTCAGATATTGATACTCATTCACCTAGATTTAACGCCAACCCAACCTGGTTTGAAATATAGCAAAGGGGAGTTAATAGTGGAATTAAACATGTTATAAGACGTATCATTCTGTTGAAAGGTATGCATCCAAATATATTACCACTTATGCGTGCCTAGTAAAAGTATTAAAAAAACAAAAAAAAAAAAATGATTTCGATCATTTCGACCATTTCAGATATACGAAATGATCTATTTCGACTTCATGTATAGTTAGAATGCTTTCTTAAATATCCTGCCTTAAGTAATTTAGGTGATCTAGAAAAAATCAGACTTTATTTTTATTTTTAATCTATAGGTATAGCAAAAAAATATAATATACATATAACATATAGAAGGTTTGCTAGGAAAATGGGACTCTAAGTAATTTTTATTAAAATTTTAATTTTTATTGCATTTTAATTTTTGATAATGTTAGATTAAAATGCAATAAAAATTTCTCAGAGCCCAATTTTCCTAACAAATCTCCTATATATATGATATACTGATACATATATTAAAGATAGCATAAAAAAAATTCAATTTTTTCCATAAAACTTTATTTTTATTAGAATATCTAAGTCACTTAGTAAAAAATAATACAAGAATAAGTTGAATCAAGAAAAGAATACTTTCTCTTATAACAAATTCTGCCTTAGAAAGTAATCCAATAAAATTTCTGTTTTAAAACGCTCAAAAGTTAGCATACTCATTATCTTAACTCACTTTAAACCCTGATCGAGTCTTAGAAGTACTTACAATATTCTGTCAATATATCTCAAAACCCATTCTAGTTTTCACTCAGATTGACCAAATAACTTAGACAATTTGAATGGATTATGCTTTCGCATTTAGTAGCAAATATTATAACAAATAAGAATGCAACTAGTATTACTAAAAAAATATTGCTCAGGTTACAATATTTACTGAGCTTATTTATAAGAAACTTCTAGTATCTTTTCAGGAAAATAGTATTATTAATAACATAGCAAATAAATGATTATTTTTCTTACGAATGCTTAGATCGCCTAAATATATTGAAGAAACTAAAGAGCATATGTAAAGAAAACCATATATACAAAAATAGATTTATCTTTAACTTTATGATTTGTTCACCTAATGATAAGTCAGAAGTTATTGATAGTCCTCTTTTGATTATTCTGAAAATAGAAATAGGGAGATGCTTTAGCATAAATAATATCACTACTGATGCTGAATTCAAACTAGTAGAGACTAAGGTTGCTGAACGAAATCCAGAGTTTAGACAGACGTCTAAATAGTAAAGGTAAACTTGGTTAAATTATATTAAAACCTTATTAAAAAATCTGTGAAATTCAGAAAAAGGTAAAACTATATCAAAACTTATAAAAATAGAAAAACTATATTAAACACTTAATAAAAATTTAGCGAAATTAAAGGTTTAGACATTTAGCCAAATCCAAAATGAGTTTAGACAAGCAACCTTAGTAGAGATATTACTTTAAGAAACTAATATCAAAGGGTATAGTCTTTTATATCCATCTGAAAAGTTTCCTAACAAATTTTTATTATCATGCGTCTTTCCATAATATTGCCTAATATGTAAACAAAATTATGACATAGAGCTAGCCAAATTTATTACAAATTTACTATACTATTTGACACAATTTTTTTTACCACAATTTGGTATTTAAATAGGAAATCAAAAGAAGTGCAAAGAATAAGTATCTTAATATAGAATCTGACATCTAAATAGACGTAGAAGACTAGCACTTTCAACATAAAATCAGGTATCCAAACAGCTACAAAAGACCAGTAACCTCAATATAGAATTTGATATGTAAACGACTCAGAAATAAGAAGAAAAGCGTGGTATTTATATTATTAATTACTTATTATATTATGAATTATATTATTAATTATTTACATAATCTAATCACATTCGCTGGTGACTATTTAATATTAAATATTACAAAACAAAATTATGTATTTTAATATAAAAATTTAAATATTTGATTATCCTATTTTTTGAATAATTAACTTAAATTATAATTTAATAAATTTATTTAAGATAATAAAAAGTCTAATTTATAAAATATAATTTATGCTTTTAATTTATTAGAATTATTTAATTTTAAAATTCAAAATGATAATTATTTTAATAAAATTAATTAAAACCATATATTTAATTATTTTTAATTTTTTGTATGATATTTTAAAATGTATATTTAATAAATAATATTAATTAATGTTAATTTAATATATTAAGATTTAAGAAATAAATTTAAGATTATATTTCTTTATATTTTCTTTTGAAAATTACTATAAAAAAATTTAAAATAAATGATTTTAAATATTAATAAAAGTATTAAATTTTTTTAAATAGAAAACAATTTTTATTATTATTATTAATAAAAATAATTTTATTATTCCATAATTAGTTTAATCACGTGATAATAACCATGACGTAATTATCAAAGTATATCAAAAGTTCGATATTTTTATTCTTTATTTTTTTTTTTAAAAAAAAATAAATATATATCGGTAACAAAATGCCACCGATAACACGTGGCAAAAAGAAAACTAAAGATGATGATACACCAAATAAATCTCAACCGAAAAAAAGTCGTAGAAAAGCAATTAAAAGCCAAGGAACGGAAACTAAAGATGCTTCGCTCGAATCTAATGCGTCCGAAAGCTTAACGAATGATATTAAAGTTGAGGGTGTCGATAATCAAGGTAAAATTTATTTACATTGAAATATTCAAATAATTTTTGATATTTTTTTAATCAAAAATTCTTTAAATGACTGATAGTACAAGAATCAAAAAAATGGACGCCGGAACAACGTTTACAATTAATCGAAGCAGTTCTTAAAAAGATTAATATACCTTGGGACGAAATTTGTAATGAAGTTAATGGAGGGAAAAGTGAAAAAATGTGTTATGATCAATGGAGAAGAGTAATTTTACCAGGTTTAAAAACCTCGATCAAATTTCAGAGAAAGAGCAGGAGAAAAGAAATTTAATTTCGTTAACCATTGATTAATTTTGTAAAAACGATAAGTTTTATTTGCCCTTAAAAATACAAATTTATTGATTCTCACAACTATTTACATCATTTACTTCTAATTTTTCACCATCTTTCAAATTGCCTATTTTTTCAAAAATCTCATCGTCATCGATCATCGTAGGTTGAGGAGCTTGACCGGCTTTTTCTAATGCTTCAACAGAGGGTAATTTAGTAATCATTTGTAATTTTCTAGAAACGTCAGGTTCGGCTGATCCAGTACCAAGGCCAAGCCTCATCAAGGCCATAATGTAACCTTGTTCGGCAGATTTCTTATACCATTGAAGAGCTTTCGTTTCATCTTTTTTTACGCCTAATGAACCAATTTCATATAATTCTCCCAAGACGAATTGTGCTTGATGATGATTATATTTTGCGGCTGTAATATACCATTTTAAAGCCTTTCCTTCATCAATTTCAACACCATGACCATCTCGATACATATCACCAAGCGTAACTTGAGCCGTTAAATAATTATTTTCTGAAGATTTCGTATACCAATATAAAGCCTTCTCCGTGTCCTTCTCTTTATCATCAAAGCCCTTTTCATATATTTGTGCAAGACGATATTGCGATTCACCGACATAATCTATGGACGAATCCGCTCCCTCACGTTCAGCAACTTTTGAGAACCATTCAATAGCTTTTTCGTAATTCTTTTCAACACCTAGTCCATTTTCGTAAGCATTAGCCAATAAAATTTGTGCTCGTACGAATCCATGTTCAGCTGCTACCTGAAATAACTTTACAGCTTCAGCTTCATTCTGTTCTACACCTTCACCTTTGGTTAAAAGCAACCCGAGGTTAATTTTCGCATTGATATCGTTTGAATCAGATGCTTTCCTAAAATATTTCACAGATTCATGTAAGCTTTTGGGAACGCCTATTCCCTTTTGATTTAATATTCCTAAAATATTTCCAGACACACTATCTTCAAATTGATTATTCGCTTTTTTAAATAATTTGACCGATTCTCTGAGATTCTGAGGTACACCTTCTCCAACCAAATGCATTATAGCTAAATTTCTCATTGCAATACCATTTCCTTTCTCTGCAGCTTTTTTATAATGGTCGAATGCTTTTAGTGGATCATATATAGAACTGTATTCTTTAGAATAAATAAATCCAAGACAAAGATCTCCCTCGAAAGAACCTTGTTCTGAAACCTTTTGAAACAATTCGATCGCTTTGATATCATTTTGCTCAATTTCTGATTCAATACATTTTGCATACAAGAGACCTAAAATTATTTGAGCATTGATAACTCCAAGTTCTGCAAGTTCTTTAAGATCATCTTCATTTCCTGCAGTATATTTCTTTGGAACATCATCGTCAATCGATTTTTTGAAGAAAATTTCATAATTTCCAAGTTTCAATTCGAAATTTTTGATTAAATTTCCGACCTCTTCATCTTTAATCCATTCAGACAATTTCTTTATTTTAGAATTTTTGGTCTTTGATCTACCACAAATAAATTTAATTGAAATATCATCAACTGAAGAAATTTTGATGGATTTGATCGTGATCGTCTTTGCATCATCGTTGGTAAATCTTTGTAAATCTATCGGAATAGAAGCGAAAGTAAAATTTGGTAAAAGTTCGTTGGAAATGATTTGTGTATTATAAAATGACGTTAGTGTCTTCGAAATTGGAACACCATATGTAAGTCGAGACATTTTTTTTTATTTTTTTTTCCTCTGAGCGGATTATCACAAGAGAAAAATTTTTCGGTAAGAAATTTTCTCTAACAATACAATTTATATCGATTTGTTATAAAAAGATGCAATCCTATTACGCCAAACTTAAAATAGATATTATTAAAGACCATGGAGATCAGCTGGTGCATCTATTGGAAGAATTGGTAAAATTCGGGCGTTTCACAAGCAAAATAGTCCATATTTGAAAGCAAAAAGGCAAGATATTGAATTTCAAACATGGAAGTAAATAATTATCTATCTAAACATCTATCGATATTCTTTGATAATTACAAAAAAAATTCGTTCCCATGCTTTATTCGGTTTGCAAAAGAAAAAAATTTTGTTCAGTTGTAAAATAATAATAATAATAATAAAAAAAAAAAAAAAAAGAAAATTCCAACAAATTATTGATACCAAGTTCGATAAGGTTATCAAGGAATCAATGAAATTTAATTTTGTTAAAAGATTCCCATATATGTGATTAAATAATGGTTCAGACAATATTGATACAATATTTACCTATATTAAAAATAATAATAAATATTTGGTGACACTTTTTATAGAAACTGGAGAAGGTTTCGATTTTGGAACATATCTCTTACTATGATCATATAAAGAATCGACTTTTTACTAACGGTAAATTACTTACCATTTTTATCATTTTTATATTATCTTTTGTGTACAAACAATATCTATCTATTTTGACAATCATGAAAATCACTATAAAAAAAAGCACAAAATTTTTTATCTTGTAATTTTTCAATCTGATATATATACAATCACAAATTCCTCTTATTAAAAGAAATGGCAAATTTTAAAGGAGTTATTTCAACGATAATAACGAAAAAATTCAATACTAGACTATCAAACTCTATATCATCATTAACGAGAAATTTTAGTAATTCTTCAATATTAAAATCACAAGAATATTATTTAGCAAGATCTCCAAAAGGGGCAAATTATCGATTACATTTAGCTAAATCAAGGCATTTGGTAGGAATTAGGTATGATAAGATCAACAATTCTCTATTTATTTGTTAGAAATGTTAATTTAATTATTCGAATAAATTTTTTATTTTTATTTTATTTTTATATTTTTTTCTTCTTCGGCTGTTAGGACAACGAGAGGAACAAGAGAATATAATGAAGATCGATATCAAGCAATGGTATTGGAATTATCTGATAATAAAACTAAACGAGACGATGTGATCGTTAATCAACCGATTTTAGATGACAAGAATATAGAGAATGAAGAATTGGAAGGAAAATTTGGTCAAATTTGTTATTTCGCTTTATTTGATGGGTAAGTCAATTCTAAATAATTAAATTTGATATATCAACCGAGTTTCTTAAATCTAACCCCTCAAATAGTCACGGAGGTGCTCAATGCGCAGATCATCTAACCGCCAATTTACATAAACAAATTGAATCTGTTGAAGCATCCGATGCTGATGGAATTGTCACAGAGTTTCGAAATATTGGAGGGTAACTTGTAAAAAGAAATAGATAAATATTTTGTAATTTGAATTCTCATTTTTCGTTGATTCGTCTAACTTTACCTTTTAAAATTAGTTATTTTCGAAGATTTAAACCTCCAGTATTGGAAACGTTGTTAAGCCCTGAAGTTGCCGACATTACTCCTAAAAAGAGGCCAAATAATCAAAAATCGGGTCGAGAGTCTTTGAGAAAATTCTCTTCCTCAACGCCATCACCAACGATGTTAACCCAAACGTTACCGCTTCAAACCGCTCCTACCGTTACAACCCAATCACTTTCATCTCATTCCAACTTATCAACAAAACCACTTACATTGGAACAAAGATTAACGTTAGCATATTTAAAAATTGACATTGAATTAATGAGTGTAGTGGAATATAATTCTATAGGATCGACAGCATCAGCTGCATTAATTAAATCATTAGACAAACGTCCATTTTGGACAAGCAATGACATTGAAATTACGATAGCGCATGTTGGTGACACGAGAATATTACTCTGTGATGCGGAAAATGGTAATTCCATACAATTAACATTTGACCATCATCCAGGTTCAATTTCAGAAGTCGAAAGGTTAAGTAAATCTGGTGGTTTTATTATAACGGATTCTTTTGGTGCTGAAATGTATTTAGGTAGTTTAGCTAATACAAGATCTTTAGGTGATGCTAGAATGAAAAGGTTTGGTATTTCTGCTGAACCGGAAATTTCTATTCATCATATGGTTGGGAAGAAATTTGCTTTTATGGTTTTGGTTTCTGATGGCATCACTTCTGTATTAAGTAATCAAGAGATTGTTGATTATGTGAGTGATCTAACAACGTTGCAACCTTTTTTTTTTTCCTTACTTTTTAAATTTTTAAAATTTTTCTTTTAGTTGAAAGATTGTGATAATCCAACTATTGGAGCATCAAAATTAGTTGATCTTGCTGATGAACTTGGATCTAATGATAATATGACGGCAATGGTATAATTTCATTTAAAGAACGTCTTGTAAATTTTGATAAATTTTTAATAATTAATGTTAATAATTAATAATTTAGGTTATAAGGTTACCAGGTTGGGGAACATCAATGCCCGATCATACAAAAGAATTAAGGAAATATCGACTTGATCAAAATTTTACAAGCCGTCGTAGATAATTGAATTTAAATAATTTAATAAAAAATGTAAAATCCCAAACAATTTAAAAGAAAGGTTGAATTACTAAATTCTATAAGAATATACGAGATAATTAATTAGATTTCAAACATTTATATGTTTTCATTGCGATCCTCGGTCAAACATTATTCCAAACTCTTAAAAATTTTCCTTTAATCCCTTTGATATTAAGTTTTTGCGAAAATATTAAAAAATTGTCACTATTAACATTCAAAGATTTATTAAAAACTATTTTATTATAGAAAATTTCCGAATTTATTTTTTAAAATGTTCTAAACCATTTTTAATCTATATGACAAATAAACCAATAAACGCGTCCTCAATCAATACTTCCAGTATCAAACCAAGTTATTATCATCGAATTTAAAGCTCTCGTAGCTATTCATTCAAGTATTCGGGTAAGTTTCGCAAAGGGTTTATTTCTTAAAATGATCGAAATTATTAACTCTTACAAAGGCTATCATTTGAAATCATCGTAAAGAATGCAATATTCAGAGCTCTAAATAATGAAATTATTGAAATTTTTATTTTTTTAAATTCTTATATTTTTAAGTTGTATTAATACATGCTGAACTATTTTCTTCTTTATATTTATTTTATTGTGACAAATTAACGAAGCGAAACGTCTGAATAATTTCAAACTTATAATAACAAGATTTAAATGGAGACCTGAAATGGAGTAATTCACAGAATATGCATAATCTTAGGATGATTGAAAGATCTTAAGTATCAGGACAAAGTTGTGTGAATTATAATAAACAGCTGACATCGATAAAACTCAATTTTCTTATTTCGCTTTTTTACAAATGCGTCGGTATTATCATTATGCTAACTTGTTTTTCGCATTAAACCATAATTTTTCTAATTGAGTAGTTAGAAACCCAATAGATTTCTACTAAATCGCTTAATCCGTTCTATCTTCAAGTTTAGAACAGATCAGATCATACCGCTTGATGGCTATAGATAATAGTAAAAGTAAATATTAAACATTTGCCAATATAAAAACAATTGTATTAAAATGGTTGAAAATTTTCACCTTTAATTGACCCTTTAATTAATAATTGAATAGAATAACGCCGAAGAAATTTTATATTCAGCATCCCCAGTATGTTTTTTTCTTGACCGGAAACACCAGATTTTTCAGGAGTTCGATCTATAGCCATTTTATAAAATATTAACATTGAATTACAGTATATAAAAGTTGCGTCACAGTTGTAAAAAGGTTGAAAGATACCTCCGGTGGTTTTTGAAGTTTTTGGTACTATTAGCCAAACATATAAGGTATACTATAAGTGAAATGATAGATTTTAGACGAAGAAATTGACGTTTCATTTCCATTATCACTTTGATTTTCAATTAAAATATCTCTCATGCTGCATTGCTTTCCCAAAACAATAAGCAACAATTTCCTCGATTTTTTTATTATTGCTTCGGCGTTCCATGTTCATAACAAGATCCCGATTAAAATGTAAACAAAGTGAATTGTACAGGGTTGGCCCAATGGCCAATGGACCTTGGTTTATTGGATAAGTTCAATGGATCTATGAGAGACATTGGATCTATTGAGATATTTAATTCCACGAATGCTAGAAACATGATTTTATATTTATTTAAATCCTTAAACCTTGGGACACATTTAATAAAAATTTGAAGTTCAATTATTAATACCAATTTTGCGTAATTTACTGATCTACATCAAATTTTTTTACTAAATTTAATTTAAGCATAGTTACTAAATAATTGATACTGATTCCGATCCGAGTGCGATGATGATTTTAACAAGCTTCACAAAAAATCGATCTACAAGATCATATTGTCCTATAAAAAATTTGGTTAGACTAATTTTTATATGATATGATGTTATAGATCGATCTACTAATCACTACATTGAAATCTAGTGTCAATTATTTAGTAGCTAGTCTGCTGAAAAAATTTAGTATGCTTAAATTTCATTAACTAATAACTTTTGATATATGGGTGGTATGCTATTAAAATTGAGGTACGAGACATAGTAAATCATATGATCCGAACCTCAATTTTAATAGATCACCACCCATATATTACTAAATTACGTAAAATTGGTATTAATAATCGCATTATTGGATATACATTAAGGTTTAAGGATTAAAATAAATATAAATCATATTTCTAGTTGATGAATTATAAGCTGTTAAAGAACTAGTAATTCTACTTGTATTTGAATTTTTTTTTTTGCAATTTTTTTTTTTTACAATAATAAATTATATTATATGTTGTCCAATGGATGCCCATGATTCATTAGATCATTTAGCTATTGTAGTTCAATGAATCCGATCCATTCCCAACCCTGCTTTGTACGGTCTTGAATTGAAAAATTATTCCACGGAAGCTATTGGATTTATCATCAAAAAATATATCAAAAAAAAAAACAATTCATTACTTAACAAATAGAGATAGGTGAAACACATACTCTCTCCGGCTAGTTATAAAGAAAAGAAGCCTTTCACGGCGAAAGTAATATCAAAATATAGCCTTTCATGACGAAAGGAGATCAAAAATTTAGTCCTTCATGGCGAAAGGAACCATTGCACCAAGCAACACTTCATTATCTTGTAGGGTAAGATTTTGAAGCTCTTCTTCGTTGTCATCTCTTGGAATTTTAGCCTTTGTGTCGAAAGGAATATCAAAATTTAGCCTTTCATGGCGAAAGGAATCATTGCACCAAGCAACACTTCATTATCTTGTAGGGTAAGATTTTGAAGCTCTTCTTCGTTGTCATCTCTTGGAATTTTAGCCTTTGTGTCGAAAGGAATATCAAAATTTAGCCTTTCATGGCGAAAGGAATCAATGCACCAAGCAACAACACTTCATTATCTTGTAGAGTAAGATTTTGAAGCTCTTCTTCGTTGTCATCTCTTGGAATTTTAGCCTTTTGTGTCGAAAGGAATATCAAAATGTAGCCTTTCATGACGAAAGGAATATCAAAATTTAGCCTTTCATGGCGAAAGGAACCATTGCACTAAGCAACGCTTCATTATCTTGTCTTGTAGGGTAATATTTTGAAGCTCGTCTTCGTTGTCATCTCTTGGAATTTTAGTCTTTTATGTCGAAAGGAATATCAAAATGTAGCCTTTCATGACGAAAGGAATATCAAAATTTAGCCTTTCATGGCGAAAGGAACCATTGCACTAAGCAACGCTTCATTATCTTGTCTTGTAGGGTAATATTTTGAAGCTCGTCTTCGTTGTCATCTCTTGGAATTTTAGCCTTTTGTGTCGAAAGGAATATCAAAATTTATATTTTTTTGCCTACCCATTTTTATTTTGCTTTCAAACGTAAAAATAAAAAAAGTAGATTATTACGCGCGTTATTATTCTTATTTTATTTTTTTAACGTGCAGTGATAGAAGATGTGGTGTGTTATTTTTTTTTAACATGGCGGTCGAAGGTTTTTTTAACGTGCGTGCGGTATGTGATTTTTTTTTCCTCCTTTTATTTTATTGTGATGTTTATTTTAATTGGCTGATCTCGTAGTACGACGCGAAATAATTCCAAATAAACAAATTTGTTATTTTAGTTCGAAAACAAAATACAAATCAAATTTTGCTCTTTCTTAATCAAAGTGTAGGTCGCTTTTAATTTTTTTCTTCGATCAAAAATAAATAAATAAATAAAATAAAATTATAACATTTCTTGAAAATTGAAATTTGGCAACAAAATCTTTTCGATACATTTTTAAAAAGGAAATCTGGATGTGTGAAACATGAATATGTTCAAAATACAAATAAAAATCACAAAATATAAAAATTAGTTAATTAAAAATCTTACTAAAAGTGCAGATGCTCCATTGTCAGCGCATGATTTATTACAAAAGGACTGCGAAAAATGGCAATTTGAAGATGATACATTAGGAATTTTATTTCGTAATGTTCACGACTCCGCCGCAAAGTCTATGTTTTATTACGTGGCGTGTCGTGGTATTGAAGATTATTAAAGCGTAATACCTTGAAAATTTTTTCGGCATTATCAAATATTTAATTTATCCTTATTTAGGATATTAGTCCGTAGGTATTCTGTAGTCGAACAACTTCATGATTTTCTTTGTCGAGGTTTCAAAAAAAATCCTGAAAATGCCGTATTCAATAATGTAGTAAATTCTAGATGCTTAACTATATGAAGTCTGGTAAATAAAAATGTTCACATCTTAAATGGAGATGTTGCAAATAGATCCGGAGAATCATTGGGCTTTATCCATTATATCAGTTCTAATGGTAGAAAAATCTTTAGTATTGCTATTACCTCCCAACTATTGGTTGGCCCTATGGAGAAATCCTTTGAGATATTATAGCAACCGAAAGTGATATTTTTTTCAATTCTTAGAGTCCTAAGGTATTCTTTCGGAGAATGAGTTTTTTTACTCTATATATTTGAATTGATTTTTATACTCAAAAGATCCGAATATATCATTTTTATAATTTTTTATTTATTTTGCTGACGAATATTCGAATATCCCATTTTCAATGATGAAACGTTGCACTTATTTCATGGTCCCGTCAAACCTGGACTATGACAGTTATGAATTGTTGCTTTTCTTTTTGTATTTCTTCTTCCTAGAACTGAAAATTGAAAATTTCGGAAATCATATCCGTCCGTTAAATTGAGCCAATAGGATTCCTCCTTTATTGAAAAATAAAAATTTTCTTCCAATTTCCCACGGACCAAAGCGAAAATATTTATTTCCTTTATTCTTATTTACTTTACGAATACGAGTCTTAAACGTATTTTTTTTTAATACATAATGTAAAATAAAAATAAACGACGACTCTATTGAAGATTTCTGAGTAAACACGAAAATGACATTTCTATTTATTCCTTTTTTTTTGTGGATTTTAACTTTTTTTGTCTTCAAAATACACGACCGTCAACAAAGTATGCAGGTATAATAAATTTATTCTAACCAAATAAAAAAATTCATTTAGACTTTTTATAACTATTCTGGAATCTCTTTTCTTATGTACTCCAAAGAAAAACACGACAAAAAAAAAAACGATTTGCCTGCCGGTTTCCAGTCCAGTCCATCCAGCCTGTGAAGTTTAACTTTGGCGACCGTTTTACCTGCGGCGTTATAATAAACGGTTTTCGGTCTATCCAGCTATGTCGCCAAATGCGGAATTCTCAAATATCGTCAAAAAATTGTTCTTTCATATTTACATTATACGTCGATTCTTCAAAAGAATAGAAGAGTCTCCACGTCCGATCCTGAAAAAAAACTAAAGATTTAAAAGGATCACAAGTAAATTCGTTAATGAATCTATATCATTATTCAATTGTCCTATATAGGATGAAACGAGACTATGTGACGAATCTTAACTGCTGCAAGAATTTTCATGCGCCCGTTGGAATTGATGTTAATGATTTCATTCTATCCTTACTTTCCTACAACGAACTTTACAATATATAGTTACTTTTGTCTTAAATACGATTTAAAATTATAATCGGAATGTTTCGTGCAAAGCTTTTTGACAGATACTCGAAAATGTTATTTCTGGTCTTGTAAATTTACTTATTAATTACATATCCATTCTTTAACTAACGTTAACACATGAGAAGAACAATTCCGTTAGCAGAGGAGGCAAAGCCTTGCTCGACCACGTTTGCTACAGATAAATTTAAGCCATCCGCAATAAAATTTTGAACGTCAATCCGGTCTCGAAATTCTTGTAACTCCTTTTTTTTTAATAATTTAATCATTGCCAATCAATAAATTCATTAACACAAAATATGTTATATAATAAAGATTTTTTTCAGAAATTTTGTTTGTTAAAGCAAGAATTTTTGTTGATAAATGATTTTGAAATATATTATTTATATTTGTTAACAAATGCCGAAAGATCGTTCATTTGACGTTATCGAATCAAAATTTAAAAATCAAAAACAGATTTATGGGTACTAGGGATTTTCAACACCCGAAATTCTATAAATTAATTCGGATTTCTCATAATTCGTAATTTGGGTCAACACTATATGACTGCAAACAACATTAACCTAAAAACTTTCGAATTCTAAAGGCACAATGAAAAAAAAAAAAAAAAAAAAAAAAAAAAAAAAAAAAATCTCGACTAAATTTTTTTTTCCAAATGTTAAAACGATCAACGGAAACTTTAATCGTAATCCACAAATGTAAATTTATTTTAACCTCTTTTTATAATTTGAAATTAACGAAAAAATCAAATCAAAATGAAAATAGATCCGAACAAATCTATATAACTTAATTTATATATAACCTACCTACCTTAGTTGAAAATGCAGCTACTTAGTTTTTTCTTATACGAAACTTAACTTTCCAAGTAATGTAATGTAACAATATAAATATGAATTAAAAACAGCATTAAGAAAACTACGCTATATCTATTGATAAAGAGGCTTAAATTTTAGTAATTTTTATGTTGCAAAACAAACTGTTATAAGAATTCGCAAATAATGTACCTATTAAATTTTATTATCTTGATTTAATATAAATAACTTTTTTTTTTTGTAATAGTTAATTTTTTAAAAAATTTCTATAATAGCATGATAATAATTTTTCTTTGATGGTGAGGTTAATAAAAATGCATTAAAAAATAACAATTGTCAAATATATTATGATTTCATATCTTCCATCTCTACATATTCATCAAGAAAATATTTATGTCGATTTTCGTTCAAAAAACTAATAAAATATAAAAAAAAGTATTAATATAATAAATAATAACTTTTCTTCATAACATGATAGAAAGGGAAAAATATTACTTTAAGAAATCTGATAAATGCAATTTCAAAGCATTCAAAGTTTCTTGGCTAAGAGATGTATCTGATATTAACTGTGGAAAAGAAACTACAAAATGAATGAATAGTTTAATATAAAATAATTTAATTTAATGTATTTGATTTAAATCATACCGAATAATCGAAGCAAATGCTCGGCACCAAAAATCTGAGAGTTATCCAAATACTCGTATTTTAGTCGTGTGACTCTGTATTGTTTTCTTTCCCCTTTATAAAGCAAACGAACACCTAAGCATTTATTAAAGTAAAAATGCAAACCGTTGATAATTTCTTTTCCAATTCCATCATCACTTAAAATAAAATGTATTTTTTTATATCAGAAAGGATGCATAATAAGTAACCAAAAAAACATATGAATTCTTACGAGATTTCCTCAATACGATTAGAATCCGTTCGAGTTGAACGATAATCCTCTATAATATCTGTAACAGTTGGTTTCCGCGGTAAAGGCACTAACTAATTAATAAGAAATTACTTTTAAGAAAAAAAAAATAGATTTAATTGTATAAGCTTTTAATTTTTTAACCAACCGATTCATGAATATGAATGTTTTGCCAATCACGGTACAATATAGCTTTAAGAGGTTCAGGAACAGAAATGATCTCCTTTGATTTCGGCTTTTTTACAATCCCTTCCTAAATATTACACACAAGAAAAATTATTATGAACATTATTAAAAGTCTCAAAAAATTAGACAATTTAAAGACCTACTAACTTTTTCATTTGGTTGCTCTTTTTTTCTCTTCCTACTGTTTTCTGAACATGGATCATTGACGGTTCTTTTGATTGCTGGACTTTTCTTCTTAAGAGACTTTATCATTTGCTTATGTTTCTCAAGATTCGCTTCATCATATTTTAAAACTCTTGATTCATCTACCCATTCATCCCATCTATATATACACAAAATAATTTTATCATTTTGAATCACTTATTTAACAAATCAACAAGAAGTTAACTTACGAAGATTTCCATCCGGCATAATGTATATGATAATGTGGACCTAACAAGCCTGTTTTTGGATGCTTATTTGGTTCAAAATAATACTTGGTATCTACTATCTAAAAGTTTATACCTTTTATTAATTAAAAATAAAATAAAATATAATATAAAATTCTATTAACTCTGATCAAAAAAAAGACTCGATAAACCTTTGCTTCGTAAATTACTTTCCCGTGATAACAAAAGACTTTTTCGCCTTCTTGATAGAGAAAGTCATTTTCCTTTGACATTGTTTTAATATTCGAGAAAAACCAGGAGAGAAACAAGTTTCACTGAAATTTTATATCGTTGAAGATATCATCCGCATAAGTTTGTGTAATGTTACACTAAAATAATCATATATCGACTATGAAAATATGTTTAATTTAACCTATTAAGATCTTTAGCAAATAAAATTCTTTTTTAACGAAACATCTCATTTCCTAAAATATTCTTTCATTCTATTTCACAAAATATAATGAATCTATTTTCCAAAATTAATGCTTTCTCAATTTTCAACCTGCATAGATTTTAAACTCAAAAATTAGAAGTAACTGCACATTTTGAATTTTCTTCTTCTTCTTATATATAGATTATATTATAAAGTTTTTTGGAATTTACCTTGAAAATAAAAAAAAAAACCCCTTAAAAAATAGTTAGAAAAGGTTGGCATCAAATGTTTGAAATATTTCAAACATCAGACATTATTTAAACAGCTATTATAAAACCAAAAAAAAAAATTTACGAATATTGTCTCATTAACCGTTGCAGGAGTGAAATTGGGAAAGAGTTTGTAGAATTCAATTTTGTGGGGGGATTTTTTTCATTTAAATGAAATAGATCAGATTATCAATTATATTTAGTTAATCATTTTTTGTTCCCTTAGACCATAGAATTGTTCTAGATCTCATCTTCCTGCGCTTTAATGCAACATCATTTGTATTTTTTAATTTACTTAGACTTCCTAATTCACAAACAAGACAAATAATAACATTCATATTTTTCAAAGAAAATAATCAAAAATATATGGGAGGTGCTGAGAAAGGGATACCAAAAGTTTTTTTTTAAAGGATATAAATTTTCAATTTGGTCCAATTTTGCTGATCTAACGCAGTAACAATAAAAGTATCGTATTTGGAAAAAGAATTTCTTGATACATCAGTTTATGTAATTTTTATTTCTGCTTAATGCTTTTACCACATTTATGTTAAAGAATTCAAGACCTCACTTATACGAACTATTAATACACGTTAATTATAATTTCTTTATTTCTTTAGTAAAAAAGGCTTGTACTTCAAATAGAAACAACGAATTACTTCTCTGATTATAATACATAAAATTAAAGATATTTACTATTTTAAAGATGATGTCGCAATCATTTGAAGGATTAAGCAAAAAATTTCACGAATTATATAAAATGTGCATGACCACTCAATTTACTCTATTGATTTTATTGAACAAATTATTAATGAATTAATTTATAAATTTAATAAATAAAAATTTTTTTCGCCGAGTTATCTATTATTATGATTTGTCCTCATAGGAATAAAGGCATATCTAGAATCTAGAATATAAATCTCAATAAGGAAGTGTGTTAAGATAGAAATATAATTTCTTAAATAAATTATAGTATGACATCAAACGATTATACAGTCACCGAAATGAAAATTTGTAAAAAAATTTCTATACATTTTAATAAAATAAAAAAAAATTTATTAATGTTGATCAAACATGCGATGCTTTTCTTTTGACCGTTATTTAAATTTTTTTTTATTTATATAATAAAATCTCCAACCCCCCCCCCCCCCAATACACAAAAATTTTGATAAACTGCAGTTTACCACCTTGTATAACCTCCATTCGCCCTAATAACAAAATTTATATGAGCTGGCATGGTATCTACACACATTTTTTGAATTGCATCTCATACTTGATCCTGTGTTCCTTAAACGACGATCCATTTCATTCCAGAGATGTTCGATTAGATTGACGTTAGGTGATTATGCCGGCCAATCAAGAACCTTAATTGCAATATCTTCAAACCATTGTTTTGTAAGGTGTGCAATATGTTTTGGGTCATTATCTTGTTGGAAGGTAATATTATTTTATCCATCCCATGCCACTCGATGGTACCTAATAAGTCTTTCTTCAAAATCTGATAATATAAATCACCATTAATATGACCATAAATTCAGCATATGATATAGGCCAAAAAGGAGATTCTGGAGCAAACTCCAAATCCGTCTACAATCCACCTACAAACCCAGTTTGCTATATGATTTCCAATATCAAATTCAAAGCTCTAGCGCTTTTTTGACTCAAATATAGATAATGTTA